CCATTTCGTAATAAAACGTGAGTCTGTTTGTGGGCACACGTTCCCGCGACAGTGAAGAATTTTTGCAGTCCTCGTTTTTTGTGCGGTCCATGTCACATCAAAGGAAAGAGGGATATTAATTTTTACCAAAACACTTTGTCACTTAACTGGATTCCTTAGCTACACCTAATGGTTCTTCTAGGCTGGGGCCACACGAGCGCACAAAATGCGTCCGTTGTAAAAATAAACAAGAGAGGCGAATGCTACGCTTTCTTCTGGCTCCATTGTAGACAAAAAACTACGCACCGCATTCTGCAACTGTGTGGTGTCCTCAGCAACGTCCGTCATAAAATACGTCCGTTGCAACAGACAATTAAACAAGAGAGGCGAATGCTACGCTTTCTTCTGGCTCCATTGTAGACAAAAAACTAGGCACAGCATTCTGCAACTGTGTGGTGTCCTCAGCAACGTCCGTCATAAAGTACCTCATTTGCAACGGACGTACTTCTTGCGCTCGTGTGCTCCCTGCCTTAAGGTTGCAAATGTTCACTTTTAAAGTCTTTTCTGGTTTCCATCTTTATCTTATGACTGGACTTCTGCCGGGCCTAAGAAGCTGTTGGAATCCTCTGAACATTTTACGCTGATCATTAACAATTTTCTCAGTACGGGGCATTCATTTAACACTTCTTTATTCTTTCAAGAAAATTTATGTTGTTAATCCAGAGGCTTATTGCACCATTGGTCTCTGGAACCAGTTCTAGTTCGCTTTACAAGTATCAAGATTATTTCCACTTACGTATTCGTCTCTGACGTAGTCTTTCTCCCTGAATTATTGTTTGACGCATGCGTGATGAACGCCGAACACACTGATTCAATTGCGGTGCTACCAGAAAATTACAAAAAAATACAATTTACCACTGTGTATTAAACCACTTTTTTTCGAATAACCAGTCTGGCATTAGTATAACTGACAGGAACGTTTCTTAATATCATTACGTAAATGTAAATATTTTACAATATCCTTAGTCTGAATCGGAGGTCTTATAATTATTCAAATTATGTGTAAAATTAAAATGAATATATTATAAAGAAAACTGGATGCATATTAAGCAGCCCATTTTTTTTAATTCGCTTAAGGGGGGGGGGAGTCCAACTGAGTTCACTCGGCACGGCGGTCGTTGATTGGCCTATTGTACCTGTCCCAGGTGATTATGATGATGGAGAATTTGGTGGAATGAATATTGGCAGGGGAAACCGAAATACTCGGAGAAAAGCTGCTCCAGCGCCACTTTGTTCACCACAAATCTCACTTGACTAGACTCGGGATCGAACCCAGGCTGCCGCGATGGGAAGCCAACGACTAACCGCTTGAGCTATGGCGCGGCCGACTTAAGCAGCCCATGGTTCAAATCCCGACTTCTTCATTCTACTGTAGAATCTGTAGGTGTCTCTGAGTGTGCGTGTCCGGAACGTAGGAGCAGCTGATGCAGCCTTCAGAAGGAAGGAACACTTGAATATATGCACTATTCCGTGAAACAAATTTAGCCTCCTAATCTGCCTTTTCGCCGTTTTATAAGTTAGACGATAAAATCAATCGCTTTGGAGTCTACCATACGAGAACACACTAAGTATTAGTGTTATTATCTGTAGATTGTAGGGCGTGTAGTAGAGGGCATTGGGGTCAGTTTGCAACAGTTCGCATTCTTCGGCATTAAAAGTTCACTTATTACAGCTGTAACTCTCTTGTAATTTATTAAATATATTTTACTAATCTTCAATTTTTTTTTCCCCTTGGCACTACAGCCCCAGTGGGCCTAGGCCTACCTCCATGAACTTCTCCGTTCACTTCGGTTTTTCTAGATCTTAAAAATACGGTAGGATTCCTTGGGCGGGTGATCAGCTCGTCGCAAGGCCTCTACCTGTACACAAACACAGAAAAATGCACACAAACATCCATGCCGTGGGTGGGATTCGAACCCACAATCCCGGCTTCCGAGCGAGCGAAGACAGTGCACCGCTCGGCTACCGTGACCGCCAATCTTCAATGATACACTTCACGAAATAGAATGAACAAGTCAGGGAGTAAGATATGGACACAACATGTAGCACGTATGGGGGAGAAGAGGAATGCATACTGGATTTTGTTTGGAAAGCCAGAAGGGAAGAAACCACTAGAAAGACCTAGATGTAAGTGGGAGAATTTTGTAATAGATCTTAGAGAAATAAGATGGGGTGGTATGGAGTGGATTAATGTGGTACAGGATACCAGCGGCAAGTTCTTGGGAAAGTTATGAAGAGCCCTCTAGTTCTAGATATATTGGGATATCCTTGAGTAGCTGAGTTACTGGTGATTTCTCAAGAAGGTTGCAGCGCCATGAGTTACTTATTGTACTAACCTTCGGTGTGGTATATACAAACACTCTTACACTCCGCATAGACTTACTCCAACAGGACTGGTTACACACATGTCGTTACCACTACTTTGAGTTCCTTTTTATTACCAGTAGAAGTCTCTTCACGTTCGCCTCTCCTTGTTTAACTTAACAGATTCCGCTAATGCTTTGACGTCCAATTCTCATATCCCGGCGCGAGATAGACACGTCAACAAAAGATCTGTAAGAAGTGGCTCAGAGCCGCTGCATAACATAGCGACGTGTAACTGGGGCGCAGTGTTCAATTCTAGTGACATAACTTAAATATTTTCGTTAACTTCCTCCTCTCTTTGTCACCCACTTATTGAGCACACAACAACAGGCACACCTGATGCTGCAGTGGGTAGATGCAGCGGAACCTTCAGGTTATATGAACATCGAAATTCTTCGAGACCAAAGCTGATTCAGTATGCTAATTTATTCTGTTATATATTTTATATACACGTCTATCGGGAGCTGATTCTAGAGGCGTCTTCAGGCGATTGGTTGGCACACTGATTCTAGAGTTATCTCCGAAACGTCATATATGTGAAATACACTTCAGTCAGTGGCCATCATCACTCATATTACTGGCACAAATGGAATTGGACGTTACGGTACTTCCTATAACGCCACACCCAGGAGTGCTGAAATGTCCGAGTCAACATTCTGAAGTGGACCACTCAAAGTGCCTTAGTGAAAGCACTTTGAGTTGCTGAAGACAGGTGTCACTTCATATCATATCATCGGAAATGCCTGAAATCACATGGATTTGGTGAACTGTTTTGGAGTAACTAGCACTCAATTTCAGGATGATTTTGCTTTCAGTTTTTTGTTTCCTAGTAGTTTACCATGCAACCTTTGAACCCACCCGATAACGAATCAACTTCATGAAACTGTGGTCACTCATTTGGCTCGAGGGGTTAAATAAACACGCCAGGAAGGAATATGAGATGCAAGTAACATCAGAAAACCGTCGCCATGCTTCGCTCCTCAAGAAGTAGGTTCTCACCATGGCAACGAGGGCTGACTATCCCACAACTACGGATGTTCAATTTATGGCCTTCAACGTTAATTTTAATCAAACAACCTTCCTTGAAATTTACAGGGAGTCTTGACTTATATTTTGTCCCTGTAACTCTAAATTATTCCTGCTGAGGACAACGAAGCTTCGTTTTATTGTAACAGAGGACACTGGAGGGAGACATGAGAAAATCAAAGTATTGCAGCCGACCCCACGTTGAGTGCTGATAATTTACTCCTTCAAATCTCTTGATGTATATTTGAGATTTGATTGTTTCAAAAATACTTATGCTTCTCTGGTCGTCTGAGATTCGCCTGCAAGAACCCGATGTGACATCTGGACTGTTCCTCGAAGTAACTCCCAATCACTTTGAAGCACATTCCAGTGCTATTATTTCTTAAAATCAAGAGATTACTTGTTGACCTTCTCAAAGAGGGGCGCTGTTATCAACAACGGACATAGGTAAGTGTGATAGAATATTTATTATATACCAATAGTATAGAAGGGGCACGCTGTAGCGTAGTTGGTTGAGGCACTGTGCTACAAGCCGGAGGGTCGCGGGTTCGAGTCCCGATGAGGTCATTGAATTTTTTCCAATTTACCTAACACTTCCAGTCTGAATATGGCCCTAGGAGTGACTCATCCTGTAACAGAAATGAATACCAGGAATCTTCCTGAGTGGCAAAGAACGGCCGGTGCGTAAGGCTGATAAAATTACCGCCATCTGTGAGCCGACTGTCTAGAAAATGTGGGAGCCTCTATCGCTCACACCCCTATGGGCCTTCACGGCCTGTTACAGGGACTCCTTTACCTTTACCTTTTGCAATATGGCTGAATGTATTTATTAATATTTTGTACCTTATATTACGAACACGTAAACTTTTAACAATTCAGATGTACCAAATTTTTAGATTTTGTAAACCATCTTCTTGCAATGTCTTCTAGAAAGTAGAACGAAATGCTCTAAATGGAATATTATATTTGAATTAGATTTATGTGGTGTATTTAATTATCTGAATGATACAAAAATGCATTTAAATTTTCCGTACATGTTTATTAATTAATGTACTTAAAGATCAAAGTCCTCTGGGATGCGACGTCATGTAGCTGTATAGTTCTTCCAAACTGAAGATGGAGGCATCAGATTCTCCCGAAACATTACTACCTATCTGCGAGGCTGCATGGCATCACACCCTGTAAGACCTCAAACTTTATACCACCCCAGAGCCTCTGATCTCATGTAGAAAAGTAACCTTGATGTAGGAACTGAAATTATCAGAGCAGTATCTGTGAAAGGCTGTGTCTTCTGGCATATAACGTCTTTTAGCCCAGTGAAATTGAACTGACGTTTCGGAGGAACGTATCTTCTCCATCTTCAGGTTTAAAAAGTAAAGCAAGCAAGGAACCAGCATGGAGCAGGCAGTGAGCAGAACTCGACGTTTTCCTCCGAAACGGCGGTTGATTTTTCATCTAACTACACGGTATTATATCCCAGAAGGTATAATTTTTCATATTCATCGCAGTGAAAATATCATCATCCTATTGAATAGTTTCAAACCGTTCATTTTATAGGCGGCAAGAATGATGTAAGGATATTATCCTCAATGGCCTATTTATGTATTAATGTGCTTGTTTGCCCCTCACGTCATCAACGGTTACGGTGGCTTCCTACACTTTCATCATTACTGAATGACAGTAACTGCTGTGTCAGTTTCCTTCATGGGCCGCAATCAGCATCCGTCATAGCAACCGGCCTCACAACTGTGACGTCTCTACCTGAGCCCTCTGTTGGCTGACGTCAGAGGCAAAAACATGAGCCACATAAGTGCTGCGGTGAATTACATGGTGAATATTTGCATTTTTCTACATGAAAATAAATATTTAAAATATATTAATATTGGTTGTTATAAAATTAGAAATATAACAGGATTTTCTGCTGTTTATTAATATATTAATAAATAAGTATTATTGCATGTATTTAGGAAAAGGAGAATTTCATTATAGAATAAATTAGTGTAATAAATATTTAGTTTTTTCTTTACTGGCTCTGCAATCCTGAGTGGGTCTTGACCTCCATAAACCTCTTTCTTAAATATCTAGACACAGTACGTAAATGTATCACCAGATGGCATTACAGATACAAAGGAAATTTAAACACCCAGTTCAAGATATTTATATGATTTTTTGTACACTTATATTTCCGTCTTAAATGCAACGTATTATCTAGTAAGCCGTATAAGGCCATCATCAGGTGTTGTCCATATTGTTAAAATTATTGCACTGTGTGTCAAAATTACATATCGCGTTTGAAATCGATATTTTACAGTTTAAATGAATTCACCTTGAATTAAAATTAATTAACATCTTAATGTTTATCAATGTGGCCGTCTTACATTCGTTTAAAAGATACTTGCTTGAGTATTTCTCGTTTTGTGTTTATTTGTGCGCGGTGTGGGCATTGTGGTTGTTGTTTGTCACGCCTACATCGACACATACAGGACTACAGCTCCATATTCGAGACTTATACGAGCACGCTTCACACGCGACGCCTAATTTCGACATACAGTGCAATAATTTTAGCAAGGTAGACAACACCTGATGGTGGCCGTAAAAATGAAAGGTGTCCATATGTTTAACTGCCGGTCACGGTAGCCGAGCGGTCTAAGGCATGCACTGTCTTCGCTCGCTCGGAAGCCGGGATCGTGGGTTCGGATCTGTTTCCNGATGTTTGTGTGCGTTTTTCTGTGTTTGTGTACAGGTAGAGGCCTTGCGACGAGCTGATCACCCGCCCAAGGAGTCCTACCGAACGTGTAAGATCTAGAAAAACCGAAGTGAACGGAGAAGTTCATGGAGGTAGGCCTAGGCCCACTGGGGCTCTAGTGCCAAGGAAAAAAGAAGTGCTTAACTAATTAGGCACTACACCATGAAGGAGTATGGGGGAATGGATGTATAGATCCATAATTTCTTGTCCTCGCCACCAGCTGGAAGTGAGTGGTCAAATTCACTCCGCGGATGGTGGTGGTATGCTGCCGAAACATGTAGTTAGTAGAGAAGAAGGGTGAGTAGATAATAGGTTGTAATTGAGATGGAAATATATGTGTACAAAAGATACATTAATCCAACAGGATGCTTAAATACAATACTGCTTGAAAGATATATAGCGGAACAGTCTACACAACAATAATTCCGAAAAAGACAAAATAGACGCTACTGTGCTAACATTTGTTTTATTGTCGGTAAAGCTACATGTTTCGACCCTTTTCTTGGGTCATCTTCAGGCGTATAAAAATACTGGTACTAGTTCTTGAATTGTGTCATTGTTTAGTATGGATCAATTTTGTGTTTGCATGAGTTCTCATACTAACAAATACAATTTAATTAAATGTGATTCAAATATAGTTTAAAACTTGACGTTAAAAGGATAAATTAGAATTACAATGGTGATTAAGGTATTTGTAATTAATATATAAGTCTCATTTAAGACTTTGTGACCGCTATGTAAGTGTTTTTGTGATGTGGGGTAACTGTTTGCTGAGATCCTTCCACAGAATTTGGGTCGTGTTGGTTTTTAACCTTAATATTATCGTGTGAAGACTATACTCGTTATCCTGGGCTTAAACTCTTGACCTTGTTTATACGTGGAGTTGGATACTCAAATTTGATATTGTATATATATATACAGTTCCTCTTGGTGGTGTTATAATGCTGTAGTGGTTCTGACAAAACTTATAATATAAATTATAAATATATTAATCGTTATTTAATTCTAATTTTAATTTTACTTTTATTGTCAATTTCTAAACTATATTTGAACTAAATTTAAATTAAAATGTATTTATTAGCATGAAAAGGCATACAAACACAATATGCATATTGAACAATGACAATTCAGTAACTAGCACCAGTATTCTTGTATGCTTGAAGATGACCCAAAGAAAGGGTCGAAACATGTAGTGTTACTACCAACAGCTAATAAAACAAATGTTGACATATTAGTGTCTATTTTGTATCTTTCGGAATTATTTCTGAGTATAATATCCTATCTTTCGCATGGCACACAACAGAATGCATAGTATAAAGGCAATACTATTTATATATCCAAGAAATTATATGATGATAATTCTTCGAACTCTTTTGCCCCCAGGGACCAGGAGGAAGCCCTCTATGGAGTATACGTCATTAGCCATGCTTCGCCTACGCCAGGGTGTGGAACATTCCTGCATTATATTCTCAGAAACATCAGGCACCATCGAAGTTGTAAGTACTTACACATACCTTCTTCATTTTTGTATACTAGAAAATCTTACTGTAGTGTCTTATAAGGGAGCCATTTCTCATACTAATTTTACAAATGAACTTGATAGTACGAGTGTTTTTTTTTTCAAAACAAATGTTCCATTTGTGTCGCGATATTTTTTCGGTATTCTAGAACCTAGAAAACACAACATTTCGGAAACTAAATCTGTTTCCGTCCTCAGGTGAGGTGGAAAAAACACCTATTCTGTTGGCTCCCTTATAAAGAGCTAACCTCAATCACTGGACAACCCTTGTTAGATTCACACAGCTATTTAATTACCTGAGACCAAGCTAATTCGGAGGGAGATAACAAGAAAATTTGCAATAAAAATTGTGATAAAGCACGCACATGTTTGGAACTAGGATAGAAATGGATGTAAAAATTTATTCTATAAACCTAACCAACAAAGCAAAATGCTGGATAACCAATACATAGAACAAATGGAAAATTTTGTGAAGATGTTTTTGTTTGTTCCGCAAGCGAATTGTAATTTTCCACTTTAATAGCAAGATATTCAAACATACAGGAATATGTATCAATTAGTCCACCCTGCGTCCAACTTGAGATTTCTGTAAGGGAAAAAAAGCAATTGAAAACGATCAGAGTAAATGCATTTTGTTTATTCTTTATAAAGTAGCGTGGCCATTTTATGTTTAACTCCAGACTTACACTTACTGGGAATCCTAGTACATTCACACTTTTATAATAGCAGCAGATGTAGAAGTGTAATACACGATTATGTGAAAAGTACCTGAAGAGAAGCACAGAAACAACTCCTGAAACATTATGTATACTGCATAATGAGCAGCTTCATAATTTGTACTCTTCGCCAAATATAATTAGAATGATCAAATCAAGGAAGATGGAATGTGTAGGGAATGTAGTACGAATGGGGGAGAAGAGGAATGCATATAGGATAATGGTGGGAAATTCAGAAGGAAAGAGTCCACTAGGAAAACCAAAACGTAGATGGCGGACAATATTAAAATATATCTTAGAGAGGATGGGGTTGTATGTACTGGATTGTTCTGGCTCAGGATAGAGACTATTGGAGGGCTATTGTGAACACGATAATGAACCTTCCGGTTCCATAAAATGCTGGGAAATTCTTGAGTAGCTGCACAATTGGCGGCTTCTCCAGAAGGGCTCAGCTCCATAGACCTATTTCAGAAGATGGATAGGGCTCACAGTAGAATTGCCCGCTGATCTTGTCGTTAGGGTAATAGTCTGATGTTCAGAGCACCCACGGTTCCATCCAAAATGTCGCCAATAATCGCAAAGTAACAGAAAAGCAAAAGCAATCTGTCGGCATAACGGTGAAACTCACATATCGTATATTGACTGAATATCCACAACGTTGTGATCGCAAAATGTACGAGTGCTTCGAACAGTGTGTATTACTGTGCTGTTGTAATTAGTAACGTCATTTGAAGCATAGCTATGTCAGTTGCGACATGGCGCACTGTTCCAAATCACGTTCAGGAGCTGTTATTCTAGGGCTGGTGGCAGAAAATGTTTCTATAAACTTACCCTTCAGCCGCTTAAGAATATTTTTAATGAACACCCTAGACTTGTGATTTGCTGGAGGATAGGAGAATGTTGTCTTAAATAATTTTATTTTCTTGTATTAATGTTTAGTTTTTCGCTTACTTTATCAATTTAAATTTTTTCTTTTCAAAATCCAAGGTGGGGGGCATTTGTCTGGCTTATGCCTCCCGCAGGTGCGTATCACAGTTACTAATAGTGTTTACAAGTTCTGTCATTGGAAACATCACAGAAATTTTCCGCAAAACTACATTTTTCCCTGAAATGTAAATAGCTCCAATTCGATGAAATGCGGTCTGTGATTTTCGAATGTGTCCCGTTATCTCACCGAAGAAAAGGAGAGCTCCAATGGATTTGAGTAGAGTGAAGATTTGAGTACCCACTGGAGCCTGCAGTTAAGGTTTGAGTTGTGTAACTGAAATAAGCAATTTAATTGTAAACAATGTAGGATAGTCAGTAAGACTGATAAGAGGAAATTTGTTTTTTTACACTCCACAGACTCTGAAATTCCTGTCCTACGGCAAGAATTCCCTTACATTGACTACCCGATCGCGTTTGCGCGCCATTTAAGGAACCAAACGAGCAGTTCCGAAATCTGCATATAATATTTTGAAAACAGTATTTATACCAACAATCCCTTGAACGTTCGACAAATCCTTTTCGTGTTAGGGTTCGTGAGATTGTAAAGGTTAAACGAAAACGTATTTTTTTATATCCCTTTACCTAATACTTCCAGCAGCACTACGACCCTGGGGTCGACTCAGCCTCTAACCTAAACAAGTATCAGGAATCTTCCTGGGCGTAAAGGGCGACCGGCGCGTACGGCTGACAACCTCACCGCCATCTGTGAGCCGATTGTTTAGAAAATGTGGGAGCCTCAGCATCTCACAAACCTATGGGCCTCCAAGACCTGCTACGTGGTACCTTCACTTTTTTTTTTTTTACTCTTTACTCTTGCAGCCCATTCGGGGGCCAAGCCTCTTATTCAGTTCCGTAATAATTTTTTTTTTTTCGCAGACGGTAGGACTCCTTGGACGAGTGATCAGCTCGTTGCAAGGCAGCTACCTAAACACAGGAAAACACAAACACAGAATAAACTCATAAACACACCAAACATCCATGCCCTGAGTGAGGTTCGAACCCACGATCCCAGTGTTCTAGTGAGCGAGAACTGATCATGCCTTAGAACGCGCTGCTACAGTGACAGGCAAATGGTAAAACGTATGACCATGATTTCGTAATGCGTCAGTTTATTTATACTCATTTCTGTCTGTCCATACGCCCTCCTGTCAACCTGAAAATCTGCTCTAATATGTCGGGCTATAGAGCAGTCATATGGGAGATGATAACTTCATGCTTCAATCGGAAAGGCTGGAGTGAACTTGGGACGTATACGGATAGAGGTGAGGATAATATTAAAGCGAATCTTGGTGAAATAAACAGGAGACGGTGTAATCTGGATTCCTCTAACCCAGGATGATAACCAGTTGTGGGCCTCTTGTAAGCTTTGTAATGAACTTTTGAATTCCATGCGACGTGTGAAATAACCTGTCGTTATGTAACAATTTCTCTTTTGTTATTTTTTTGTGTGGGGTGAGACTGATTTCAGTTGGTACGTCGGCTACTAACTGGCCTATTGCACCAGCCCCGGATGATAGGTGATGAGCGAGGATCAGTCAGTGGAATGAGCATTGGTAGGGGAAACCTAAGTACTTAGAAAAAACCTACCCTAATGCCACTTTGTCCACAACAAATCCCACATGACCTGACCCGGAATCGAACTAGGGCCGCCGCGATGAGAAGGCGGCGACTAACCGCCTCAGCTATGACACGGCCAACAATTTTCTTTAACTAAACATTAGTTTTCTAATCACAGAGGCCGGGCGGTCTACGGCACGAACTGTCTTCGCCCGCTCCAACACTGGGATCGTGGGTTCGAATCCCACTCGAGGTATGGATGCCTCTTTGTGTTTATTCTGTGTTTGTGTGTAGGTAGCGACCTTGCGACGGGCTGATCCCCCGTCCAAGGAGTCCTACCGACTGTCTTAGATTAACAAAATGAAGCGAAGCGAAACGTTTCACGGATGCCCTATGCTCCAAAAGGGAACAACAGGAATAGAAGAAGAAGAAGAATTAGTCTACGATTCGCAGTACTTCACTCTTCCCGACGTAATATAGAAAACGTTAATTCCCTTTCGCTCGGCGCTGTCTTGGTCAGAATCCAGTTCTGTCGGAGTTCCAAAAATTGTTGGTGGTGTTAGAATTTGTTTCGCGTGCGTGACTCCTCGTGTTTTTGTATTTATGAGCCCCAGAAGACCCAAAGGGTCTGCGTTTATAGAATGGTACAATTAAGCAATACCTCCATTTTCTTCACAGTAGAGAAACGCCCTGAAGAAAATGTAGACCGCCACAAGCAAGTGGAACAGATACCTCGAAATGGCATGCAATATAAATAGGTTCATAATGACATCCGTGTATTTGAGAGTCCACGAATAATAAATAATTTAAGGACCAATTTTTATTAAAGTAATTAAATGTGTTATTTAGCAACGATTTCTTATTGTCCTTTCTCCATGACTTACATCCCTTTTTAACAGAGTTACCATTCTTTTTAATATGAATTTCAGTTAGTTACTGAGTTAATTTGCCCACTGGGAAGACCAAGGCGTAGATGGGTGGACAATATTAGAATGGATCTTAGAGAGATAGGATAGGATGGTATTGATTGGATAGATCTGGCTCAGGATAGGGACCAGTGGAGGGCTCTTGTGAACACGGTGATGAACATTCGGGTTCCATAAAATGCTGGGAAATTCTTGAGTAGCTGCAGAATTGGCGGCTCCTCAAGAAGGGCTCAGCTCCATGAGTAAGAAAGTAAGTAAGTACTGAGTAAATTGAAATGGTTTCAAATATAAAATTCAATTAAAGTTAGTTCATGGAAATTAATAAGTCTTTTGACAGACGCATAAACCTTTCACACATTATCAAAAGCAACTGTGCATAACCGAACAGTTTGTGTGTATTATAAATTTTTCTTATCAGTATATTTTATATTTTCCCGAACATTTTTATTTTTGAAGTGATAGGGGTTGTCACTACCTCATTTCCACCCTTCTTGATTATATACTATAAGTACCGTATTTACGCATGTATAGGCCGCGTGCGTGTATAGGCCGCAGCACAATTTTCAGACAGAAATTATAGAAAAAATAATTTTCTTGGAATATTATTTCATGAGTAGAACACCATGTATTACTAATTATGAATATTAAATGAAGTGTGATTTCGAATATTTCGAATATAAGCCGCACCCCAGTTTTCCTCTTGAATTTTTTGCAAAAAATGTGCGGCCTATACATGCGTAAATACGGTAATTGGACATCCTTCAATTTAACTCTTCTTATTATTTATCGGA